CGCCCCCTGAAAAAACTCCCGCCCTCCGGCGCGATCGCCCCCCGAGCAGCCCCCTCCTCGCCCGGCCCCGCCCCCGCGCTGGCCCCGCCCCCAGGAGAACCCGCCCTCCTCTGGCTCCGCCCCTGCGCTGTCCCCGCCCCGCGCGCGCTCACCGGCCGCGCTCCCGCTCCCGCCGCCACCGCCGCTTCCGGGGCCACCGCGCCGCGCGCCCCGTGACGTCACCACGCCGCCCGCCGCACCAATCAGCGCGCGGCGCGGGGGAAGGGGGCGCAGCCGCCGCGCGCCGACCAATCAGCGCGCGRGGGGCGTGGCCAGGAGGCGGAGCCTAGGTGGTAACGCCCCTTTTGGCGGGTTCTCTCGCTCCATCCCCTTCTCGCATGACTCCCTGGTGACGTCACAAGGGGGCGGGGCCGGACACTCAGACTCTCGTGACAGGGGGTGGGCACAGACGGACCCCCATAGGGGCTGTGGGATCCTGGCCCCGCCCCCGCGTGACGTCACAAGGGCCATGGGGGACCCCCACAGGCTGTGTGGCCCCCTCCGCCAAGGTCCTTTATGGCCTCTCAGAGGAGCTGCAGGAGCCACAGGGATCGCAGAGGCACTTTAGGGGACCCCAGAGGTTCTATAGGTGTCCCCCGAACAGCTTTAGGGGACCCCAGAGGCTCTATAGGTGCACCCCGAAGAACTTTAGGGGACCCATGCAGCACCACAGTGACGGTAGAGTGCCTAAGGACTCGCAAAGCCTCCACAGAGTCTTTGGGGACTCATCACAGAGGCTCTGTAGGGTCTAAGGAGACCCCCCAAACATGCTGCAGAGGCGATAGAGACCTCAAAAAACCCCATGGAGCCCCTAAACATTCTCTACAGATGCTACAGGGTCTATAGGGACCCCCAGGAGCCTTAAGGATCCCCCCAAAGGTGCCACAGGGGAGGTATAACCCCCCCCAGCTCGGGTCCAGCCCAGGGGCGGGGCTCAAACCGGGGGAGGGGCCTTGGGGACTGAAAACCCCCCARGTCCCCTCCGTCAGTCCCCCAGGTCCCTTCCATCCTCCACACACCTGCGACCCCCGGACCCGCCCCAGGACCCCCATGGCCCCTCSACCGCCCCCCGGCCACCTCAGCCTGACCCGCGGGGTCCAGGTTAGASGGGGACCCGGGAGTTCGGTGGGGACCCCGGAACGTGGCGGGGACAGCSGGGAGCTCAGGGGGCCGCGGGCATCCGGGGCGGGGTGGGGGCGCGAAGGCGGCGGCGACACTTCCTGGCCCCGGAAAGGGGAAGTGAAAGAAGGGACCCGGGTGGCCGGGGGGGAGCCCCGATAARCTGAGGGGCCCCGAGAGGCTGAGGGGACGCGGGAGCTCCGGCAGCCCCCGCTTGGGGGGCCGCAGGTGACCCCCCGTTTCCTCAGTTTCCCCTGTACCAGGACGCCGTYGCTCGCCGGGCCCTGCGGCCCACCCTGCTCAGGTGAGTCCTCGGGGACCCCCCGATGTTGGGGACAGGTGACCCGGACAGGGGGTCCCTTCCCTTCCCTCCCCCGCCCCCCCAGGAGCGTTTCGGTGCCCACCGAGCCCCCCGCGCCCCCCACCATGGATGTCACCTACGCCGTGGTCAATAAGCCCCGCCGTGGGGGCGGGACTGCGGGAAGAAGCTCCACCCTCTCAGACCGCGACCACGCCCCTTTCGGACGAGACTCCGCCCCCTCGGGCACGTGCTCCCTCCCGGGGAGCCCCGTGCGCCGCCCCTCCCCCACCCCATCAGGTGAGTGGGGGGACCCAAAGGGATCTGGGGGGGTTTAAGGGGTCCCCAGGACTGATGAGCTGTGACTCCATTTCCCCCCTCAGGCTCCCCCAGACCCACAGACGGCACCTACGAGGTYGTGACCCCTCCTGTGGACCCTGGCAGCGGCCCCTGCCTCGGTGAGCATGGGGGTGGTCTCGGTGTCCCACGGGGGTCTCGGTGTCTGGGGGGTTTCAGGGGGCTCTGGTGTCCAGGGTGGGGGATCAGGAGGGACACCACTGTCCAGCCCTCCCTCACTGACTCCTTGTCCACCCCCTGCAGGGTTTAATTTCCGCATTGGGAAGCCCAAGGGCCCGCGGGACCCCCCGGCCGAGTGGTCCCAGGTGTGAGGGGGGAGCCGAGCCCAGCTGATCCTTACACAGCACAAAATACTGAAAAAAGATTTATTGTTACAAATAAAAACTGAATTTCTGAGAGACCCAGCTGTGCCTGGAAGGGTCTCAGAGGATCCCAGGTATCCCCGAGGGTCCCCAGAAAGCCCTGGAACCCGGGGAATTCCCAGGCACCCAGGCAGGTTCCTGCTCCCTGGGTGTTCTCAGGTCTCCGGGTGGGTCCCACCTGCCCGGGGGAGTCCCAGGGGGCTTCTCCAGGTGCTCGGGAGGGTCCCAGGGGGCTTCTCCAGGTGCTCGGGAGGGTCCTGGGGGGCTCAGGTGGCGCTGAGCAGGCGGCGCTTGGGGGCCGTGGCCGTGTACGGGTGCCAGCGCCACTCCACATCGGCCGCGTCCCCCTGCT